AGGTAACAACAATCAGAATTTTGATGGAGTGCTTTTTTTTAAATACAGTGTTTCTAAAGTTCAAACACAAAAGTCTACCAACACTACATAATGTTATGTATGTTAAGAGAGATTGGCTATAACCAGTGTAGTAACACACAACTCTGACATGCTGCGGCGTATCCCAGAAGCTGGTGTAGAGAATGATCATTCATCTCTATAGGCTTCTAAGAGTGTTCTACTGGAAATCAAGGACTCTCATACAAAGGTAGCAAGCCTATGCACTGCCTGCAAGCCCTGGGTTTGGCAGCCGTAGTGAAAACCCCGAGTGTACAGGTTTCCACCAGGCCCTCCCTGGACACGGTGATGCAAGGCCAATTCACCCATTAGGCAGGCAGGCACCACACCTAGGGCCTGTGGTAAGGTCAGGGGTCCATGAATATGTCTCAAGCTCTTTTAAAGTCAGAAGAAAAATATGAATATTTAGGTTAAAAATGTCTTAACAATGTATTAAAAGGATTTAATACCAACACTGTCATAAAATATGTCCAATATTTTGTTGTTGAGGAAGAGGCCCATAAAAGTCATAATGGGTCCCTGTGCCACTCTATTTCACTCACTGTCCCCAGGAGCTCCAAAGCTTCCGGGCAGGCAGCCCAGGCCAGGTCAGCGTAGAAATGGACGCTGCCCCCGGAGTGGACCTCACCAGACTCCTCAATGACATGAGGGCGCAGTATGAGGCCATCGCTGAGCAGAATCGTAAGGACGCAGAAGCCTGGTTCGTTGAAAAGGTACCGCAAACTGAAACAAAAGGCTTTGCTACATAGGCAGAAAAGCCCGGTGAGGGCGGCTCTCACTCACATCCCCTGCGTCTGTTTGCTGTGGCAGAGCGGGGAGCTCAGGAGGGAGATCAGCACCAACAATGAGCAGCTTCAGTTCAGCAGGAGCGAGGTCACCGACCTGAGGCGCTCACTGCAAAACCTGGACATCGAGCTCCAGAGTCAGCTCGCCATGGTACGGCGCACACAGACACGCAGCACCACGCCCACTTCCAAGGACATTGCTGCATCCAAATTAGTAAGACCACTGACTGCCTTCCTCATTTCGTCCCCTCCATTGTTACGTCTATGCCATTTCTCTCCCATGTGCAGAAGAAATCCCTGGAGGACTCGCTGGCCGAAGCCGAGGGCGACTACTGCGGCCAGCTGTCCCAGGTGCAGCAGCTCATCGGCAGCCTGGAGGAGCAGCTGCTCCAGGTGCGCGCAGACGCCGAGCGCCAGAACGCCGAACAAGAGCGGCTGCTGAACGTCAAGGCCCGCCTGGAGCTGGAGATTGAGACCTACCGCTGCCTGCTGGACACCGACGCCCCAAGGTAATGGATAACAGGCTGAAGATAATATCGGGGCTGACGAGCCGTGGACCCCTGATGCAGTCTGGAGGCAACAGAAAGAAGGGTTCTTTAGTTGACTGAAAAAAACAAATCTAATAAAGACATGCTTTGGATCTATTATATGTTGTACACTTTGCAAAGTGTTGTTACCCATTATACTTGATAATAATTCATAAAATGCTGGGATGAGCAATGGCACCACAGATAACGGGCATAGAGCAAACAAGTACTAGAAAGTCACTATTCGAGTTCCAAAATCGATGCTCCATGCCAAGAATGACACATCAAATAACAGGCACTTGAACCACCTCAGACCTCTTATACCAAACTTTCCAAAAGTAACAGCAGCCTAGACTAATGGGGAAAACTCAGAACTATGAATCAGGAAATTGAACTTCTGAAATCAGATCCTCCATTAATTGCCAGTTTGTTTTCTTTACAGTGATGGTTTGGATGAAAGTTCATCTGAGACAGGCTCCAAATCTCAAGCACAGTCAATTGATTCCTCTAAAGGTATGTAGATTCCTTAAGAATCACTTAGAATAAGTCAAAATTATATTTATGAATAACTAAACCTGTAAGATCTCATTCAATATTGCAGTATTATAAATAATTTAAAGTATATTTGTATTCTGAGCAAGGAAAAACATACAATCCTGCAGAAAAATGACTAGCCTGTGCTGTAATAAACTTCTGGCAAGCCCAAGAAGGAAAGAAAATCTACTCTACAAACAGGCATTATTAGCATCAACCATTTTTTAAATGTTTAAAAAATATTTTTTCATATGTGCACACAACACTGAATACATTTCATTTTCATTCAGTAAAATGTGTTTTTTTTAGAATGCAAAAGTCACTTCTGAAAGTTTAAATTTGATGGCTCATATCTGCCAATAACTAATTTAGGAGCTTAAGTTAAACAACAACCAATTTTGGCTGAATATTTGAAGGGACTAACTTTTGCCCCCTTTATTCCACTTTTATCCTTAGACCCAAGCAAAACCCGAAAAATCAAGACTATTGTGCAGGAAGTGGTGAATGGTGAGGTGGTCGCATCCCAAGTTCAGGAAGTTGAAGAACTCATATAAAATTTCACAAGCTCTGCCCCATAATTGGTTCCTTAGGCACAAGAAATTTACAAGTAGAAATTATTTCTCTCAGAGTAAGATGCTATATTAGTTCACTCTCTATTTTTGCCTGTTTCATTTTCTTTGAATTCCCTCCTGGAGTCCTTTTGCCCTTTAATCACAAGTCATTGTGGTCATGTTAGTCTTTATAACAAACCAAAATTGCCTTATACCTTTCTGGACCTTGAGTAATCTTTTAGTTAACTTTCTTCTAGTGACCTGGAACATGTTTTAAATCATGGGACTTTGATCACATAGTATTGTCTCAATAAAGATGAATGATAATCATGTGAAATGTGTACCCTCTTGATTCCAATAATCATGTCAACGGCATAGAAAAAAGTTTGTGAAATACTAATAATAAAGTAGATAAACACTGGGATAAAGATACTGAGGTGGAGATTAAGTGAAGAAGATTCTTTTAGAGTTCTGTCCTTTTTACGTCAGCCCCTCAAGCAAAATTATATTATCCACAACAGGATATAACAGTTGTCCTGTTCATTTCCTAGGACCTTCTTTCATTCAGTCAAGATACACTTATTGAACCTCTACAGTGTGCCAGAATGGAGATTCAAAAATAAGTAAGATATGCTCCTTGCCTGGGAAAGCTCACCATTAAGGGCAGAGATAGGTATCTACCAGGAAAGGTGATACAGTGAGACAGAGCAAATCAAAATTCAAAGGACACACTGTGAAAGAAGTGAACAATTCGTCAGGGGGGCAACTAAATGCTTCATACAGAGATCAACTAGGCAGAGACGGCAGAGAGGGAACAGAGGAAACAGATGTGAAAGGACAGAGGGGTGTGAACAAACAGTGCTTTGACGACCTTCCTCCTATCTAGCACCAAGGTGGGGTTTCTACTGGGTGGGTCAGACCCTCAAGGCAGTAAAAGATGCCATTCTCTGGGTTGGGGAAGAAGGTGGCCAAAGTGTAAGCCTGAGTAGATGATGGTTCAATCCAGGTTGCCAAATTCAAAACCCTAAAAGGAAAACAAGACCAGGATGTAATATTTGGGTTCTGAAGGCAGACTGGGTTCAAATCTTAGCTCTGCTACTTAATAGCAAGTAACTTAACCTCTATGTGCCCCAGTTTTCTGACCTTTAAAGACAGTGGGTTTTGTGAAGTTTAAATAAGTTAACATATATAAAATGCTAGGCACAGCCGCTGGCACATAGCAATTACTCAATACTTGTGTCTTATTATTATATATAAAATGGGATGGAGAAACAGGGGAGCTGATGAGCAAGGAGTGTCAAAGGGAGCAGAAGGGAGAGGGAGTCCCACAGGCCTGGAGGAACTCCAGCACTGCACACAAAAGCCCACGGAAGGTTATCATGCAGCTAACTTGCTTCAACATGCAGCATCCTTTAATATTTGCTAGTGGTTTCAGGGACTCCATTCATGCCACTTCATTCTGCATAGCAATTCAATTCTCTGTCCAGCCTTCACCTTCCAGAACATGTCCTAGAAGAACCTCACCTTTCAGACCCAAAGAGATTATCAAGGTTTTTTCCTAAACACAGTCCATAGTCCCTAGGTAGTCAATGATGCCACTTCCCTGGTACTTAAAAGTGGCCGCAAATAGTTAACAATTTAAAATAACATCTGTTTCCTTACAACTATGTCTGCATTGTGTGAGAGTCAAAGGACAATTGGGTTTTTGCACAAGTATAAATCCAGTGGTCATTTCTTAGCTATTATCTTAGTTCCTCAGCATCCCTTCTTTTGGAAATATGGTCTCCACTGGACTCCCAGAGGCATCACCTCACTGGAAGCTTTTTCTCACACTCTGCTTTGTGACCTCTGAATGTTGGCTCAGTCCTCATCTTCTTTGTCTACACTCATTTCCTAGACAATCTCATCTAATCCCATGGCCTTAAAGTAACCATCTATGGATGAATGTTAACTACACTTATTGTGGTGACCACTTCACAATACTTACAAATATTGAATCACTGTGTTGTACATTTGAAACTAATATGTTATATGTCAACTATACCTCAAAATAAATAAATAAATAAGTAAAATAACCATCTATATACTGCCTACTTCTTGCAGTAGCCTCCAAGGTGACCCCAGTGATCTTCACCTCCTGGCACTCATTTACCTTCCCTTGCCCTCCCATAATGAATAGAGCAGACCCACTGAAGAAGTGACAGTGTGTGACTTCCAAGGTTAGGTCACATAAGCACTGAGTTCTGGCGTGGTCTCTGGGATTGCTCATTCTGGGGAAATCAGTTGCCTTTAAAGTTATGCGAAGTAGGGGAAAACTACCTGAGAAAAAACGGTAATTTCACAAAATTTCCCAGAAAAGCCCCAATGGCCAAGATCTCATGGAACAGCTAGGAAGTCCAAAATCAAAGCCCAATTCTGATACTATCTCAGACAGAATATTCTAGTCTTAAATTGGCAAAGAAAGCATTAGATTTCTTATTATTTATAAGTTCACTTCACCCTAATCTCACTGCCAAGAAATGCAATTAGCAAGGTATTCTTATCATGAAGTTTCCATCCCTCATTCATCAGACCACAAACCCTAATTTAACAGACAAGAAAGGTCCTTTTGGTCTCAGCAGCTAATGAATTGTAGAAGTGAGATGACTATTTAAGGAAAATAACTCACACACAAAAAAAAACCCAAGTATAGGATCTGACCACAAAAAGACAAAGAATATTGTTTCTGATTATTTTAAAATATAAAATTTTACTTTCATATGGATTTGTTGTGTGTACAGGCTAGAGAAAGGTCAGGAAAATATTGCATACACTAAATTGTGGTTATCTCTGGGGGATTAGGAATTTGATATTTATATTTCATTTTGTACATTTTTTAAATGCTTGACAGATAACACGTAACTCTGATAAATAGGGAAAAATGAACTTTAGTTATCTAGAACAAATGCGTTTGCCAGCCGGTCACAGTAGGAAGGGAGCCATCTAGAAAACCTAAGGTTGCCGAAGTAGTTCCTTCTTTAGGCTTTGTAAGAGCGCCACCTACTGGAATATCAGGAAATGAATTTGTAGAAAACTGCTTCCAAGCCACTTGAGATATGCTTAGTATTAGAAAGTTTTTTTTTTAAGAAAGAAAGAAAAAAGCAAACATTTTTAAAAGCGTCGGCTTAATAAATTAAAACTTTATTATTTAAATGATAAATGGTATTAGTTCCTGGAAAGTCCACCAGTAAGGAGGCAAGTTCTTACAAGGCATGAAGAAGAAAGCTAGTAATTATCTAAAAAACCACACAGCCAACCTGAACTACTCAGAACTACCTAAGTTTTAAAAATATATTCAAACAACATCAAATTAAATTCTATTGCTGAGTAAATGGCTTTTTACGGGGTAGTAAATATTTCTTAAATCTTGTAATTGGATTAAGATTTAAGTGTCATTGTTTAATGTTAGCATCATAAACTCAAAATCAAACTAAAAAATATTTGTGTCCCTATTGAATGCATCCTCATCATCACTACAGCTTTTTAATAAGAGCTATGCCTGCAACATTCAGTAACATATTTATTAAAATGTTATTATGACCAGAATTCACATTTGAAAATAATCACTTGGTGCATCTATACATTAGAACATGACCTACCAATAAATGGATGGAACTACTAACACAAAAATAAAATGGATGCATGTCAAGAGTACTATGCTAAACAAAAGGAAACAAATACAAAAAAACACATACTGTATGATTCCATTTACATGAAACTCTAGGAAAAACAAATCTAATCTGTAGTGACATCAGTGGTTGCCTGGATTGAAGTGAATGGAGGAGTGGGGACTAATCGGTTAAATGGAAAGGATCCCAAAAGAACCATTAATGAAAAAGTTCTGTATCTTGATTATGGTGATGGTTATGTGGGTATATCCATTTGTCAAAATTTTTCAAACTGTACACTTAAAATTGGTACATTTTATTATATGTAAATCATAATAATAACTGAATAGCCTGTCTTCATGACGATATATGTGAAAGCATGAAGAGGCTGTGTAGGAGAATCACTGCTGTGCCACGACCAGCCTGCACCTGCTATTAAGTGCCAATTGACAAGCATTCAGGAATTTTTCAAGCTGGCTATTGGCCATGATGGGAACTGGCCATGATGGGAACAGTTACGATATGGAATTTGGTTCTATTCATATATTCCCCTGGAGAGTTGGTTTATGCCAGCACACTGCCGAACATAGTAGCTAAGAACGCAGACGCAGAGGCTGATGGCCTGGGATTGGGCTCCAGCTCTGCCACTTTCAAGCAGTTTTATTTACCCCTTTGTTCTTCAGTTCTTCACTCTGCAAACTCAAGGCAGTAAATAATAGCTACCTCGCATGACTGTTACAAGGATTCAACAGGTTCAATTACTGCTGCACATAATAAGAACGAACAGCGTTAGCTGTACTATTACAGAAAGAAAAACAAAGTCACTACAACTGAAGAATTATTTAATTTTCAGATTTCCTCCCAGAGCCCTAGACTTTTTTATTCTTTTCCTTGTCTTCACACAAACTCCCTGACAATTCCAATTTGAAAAAGAAATGTGCAATTTTCTTTTTCGCCTTAAATATGTCTCCTTAGCTGATTGCTATGGGTTCAAATTTTCTCACCTGACCAATATTATTGGTGTAATAATTTTATCCTCCCTCCATCACAAGCTTTCCTGAACATCAAAAAAGCCAATTTCTATGAAAGAGCTTTTTGAGTTATACAGCACATCAGAATTATAAGATGCTAAGGTAAATATAGCTGCTCAAATGGAGGGGGATATTCTACAAGTAAATATAGGGTATAGAAAACAGGCTAAGGAAAAACTTAGCACTACTGGGAAGTCAACAGAGAGGTAGTGGGTCAACAGACAGAAACCAGATGGTATTTCAGGCTTCACTCGGTGATTCATTATTTTACTTAGAGCAAGTTACTCAACTTGAGATGATTCACCTTTTACAAAAAGACAATAATAATTTCACATATAATCACATTAACCCAGCATTTTAGAATCCTCATAAAAACACACTGTAAACACAGGGTTCTATGAACTTGACTGGTCAGAATATGTCACTTTAGTTATCAGCTTGGAACCCACTTCCTAAAGTTATACATACATGAAGTTTCTGCTGAGAAAAGTATATCCATTTATTCATTTAGTCAACAAACACATGGTATTTATTTGTAAATACCATGTGATTTTTTTTTAATTATAAGGCTGAAAGTTCACATTTCAAATGAACAGGGCTGAAATACAACACTTTTTAACCTGTTGAAGGGTAATTTTTTATAAATAATGCTCAGTTGG